AACATTCTTTTTCATATATTCTGGCTTGTCAAATAATTTGTTCAGTTTACAGATTGAATAAGTATGAAGCAAGGATTCAACCTTGATTGTCGCATTTCTTAATTGTAAGCCATGTAGTGTCTCCCTATTTGCACAACAGCCCCTTGATCTAGGTATAGGTTTCTCATGAGCACACTTAAGAGCTTTGAAGTTTTCATTCTTCTCAGTGTTAGCTATAATTTGTCATTATCAACACAGTCAAAATGCCTTTGCATAGTCAATAGAGGACAAATAAATATTCTTCTGGTATTTTCTATTTTTATCCAGGATTGATCTCACATTAATAATCATACTCCTTGTGCTATTTAGCCACTAGAGTTCTCTTTTATCACTACTAATCAGTTTTTATTGCTTTGTACCATCAAGTTGAGTACAACTCATGGCAACCCTATGCCCAATAATTCTGAACCCTGCTCTATCCTGAGTCAGTTTCACTGTCTCTGATACACCTACCCTCATTACCCCAGTTACTGTGTCAATTCATCTCATCCTGGGTCTTCCTCTTCTGCGCTGTCCTTTGACCCTTCCCAGCATGATATCCTTCTCCAAAGACTGGTCCAGTCCCTTCTGGCTACATGACCAAAGTATGTGAGACAGAATATCAAAATCCTTGCCTCCAAGAAGCAGTTTGGTTTCACTCTCTCCAGGACAGACTTGTTTGTTCTCTTGGTAGTCCATGGTGTGCTCAATACTCTTCTCCAGGACCACAACTTGTAGGTAGTGAACAAAAACAGCAGAATGTGTTCTGTAATAAAATTCTGGAGAGAGTAGTGGTTAATTTGGAGTGCTAAGAGCACCACAGGGATGAAAGAGGATAACAGGTGTGGACTGGGTTTACCTTGCTTGTTGAGTACTCTGTTCAAGTCAAATATCGCACATGTAAAAATAATTTTCAATTCGGAATGGAAGAGATCTATATTTTGTTCCCATTCCAAAAAAAGGTGATCCCACAGAGTGTGGCTGAATATTATCCAAAAATGACCGGAACAGCACATCAACAGGGAACTACCAGATGTGCAGGCTGGGTTTAGAAGAGATCATGGTACTAGGGATATTGTAGCTAATGTTAGAGGGATCTTGGCTGAAAGCAGGGAGTACCAGAGGAATGTATATCTATGTTTCATTGATTATGCAGAGACGTTTGACTGTGTGGATTACAACAAACTGTGGCTAACTCTGAGGAGAATGGGAACCCCAGAACACTTGATCATGCTAATGCTAAACCTATACTTGGACCAGGAGGCAATTGCCAGAACAGAGCAAGGAAACATTGCATGGTTCAAAATTGGGAAGGGTGTATGCCAGGGATGCGTCTTATCTCCATACCTTTTCAATCTTTATGCAGAACAGATTATCTGGGAGGCTGGGCTCTATGAAGAGAAATGTGGCATCAGGATTGGAGGAAGACTATCAACAATCTGCATTATGCAAATCATATAACCCTGCTTGCTGAAACTGAGGAAAAGCGCTTGCTGTGGAAGGTCAGGGACTGCAGTCTTCAGTTTGGATTGAGATTCAATATCAGGAAAACAAAGATTCTCACCACTGGGCCGATTGGCAGCATCATGATGGATGGTGAAGAAATTGAGATTGTTCACCATTTTAGCTTGTTTGGCTCCACAATCAACACTCTTGGCACCAGCAGCCAAGAAATTAAAAGATCTATTGCAATGGGAAAGTCTGTGGTTAGAGATCTCCCTAAAGTACTGAAGAGCAATGATGTCAGTCTGGAGACTAAGGTGTGCCTTATATAGGCCATGGTCTTTGCAATCACTTGCCATGCATCAGAGAGCTGGACAATGACTAGGGATGATAGAGGGAGAATTGATGCCTTTGAGCTGTGATGTTGGAGAAGAGTATTGAATATACCATGGACTGCTAAAAGAACAAACAGGTTTGTCCTAGAGAGAGTGAAGCCAGGTTGCTCCTTGGAGGAAAGGATTCTGAAGCTTTGTCTGACATACTTTGAACATGTTATAAGGAGGGACCAGTCCTTAGAGAGGGACATTGTGCTTGGGAGGGTGGAGGGGCAGAGCAGGAGAGGAATACCCTTGATGAGACGGATTGATTCAGTGACTGGGGTAATGGGGGTAGGTGTGTTAGAGATGGTAAGATTGGCGCAGGATAGGGTAGGGTTTAGGGCTGTTGTACATAGGGTCGTTATGAGTCGCAGGTGACTTGACGGCACATAACAGCAACAACAGGAAGGTTTGAGAGAGAAAATTACTCCAGTAACATTAGAAGCAGAATCTGTTGCTGTGAAAAAAAGTCAAATTGTTCACTACAGATTAGTTAGTAAACATGAGTAAGGTTTGGCTTACATTGTTTACAGGACAATCCAACCATGTTTATATCACTTTTTCTTTCTCTCTTTCAGGGCCATCCATTCAAAGCTGCAGTGTTTTCTCTTTCACCTTCAACCTGATCTGAAATTCTCTTCCTGACTACTGATGATGTTTCAGAATCCCCAAATCCTACTGGCCAGAGGATATAGGGAAGTAGTTCTCTGTTGTGCAGCTGTCAAAGGGATAATCTGTCATTCTTGGCTTCTCACCCCACTGAATGCAGCACCAAATACTGAAATCATGAGTTAAATGAATATTTTTCATAGCTGCTAACCCAAACACACGCAGTTTAATCCACTAGCTCTTTTGCAGGAAAAAGAGAGACAATTTCCTCCCATGTGATTTATACCCTCTGAAAACCTGCTGGAGGGTCAACCATGTCTCAACGGTACAATATTTTATTGGAACAATAAAAACTGGGAGATATATCCAAAAGGAGACTAGAAAAGGCCAGTTGTTGTTTACCAGTGAGTCAGAACCATAGCTGATCCATCAGGAGGTTTTCAGAGACAGTCAATTATATGGGAGGAGATGGCTCATGTTGCTTCTGCAAAGCTGCAGGTAGTTTTGAAATGTGTGCTTTCATGGTTGCAGCAAAGCTTCTTACTGCAAGGCCACCAGAGATTCTAGTAATTCCATCAGGCAATCTTCACACTTCACAACTCACCCTATGTGCTTAGAAAGTACATTTATCCCCAGAACTCTTGACAGTAATCAGTTTTGTCAGTCATATTTAATATATTATATGTGAGCACTTAAAAGGATACCACTTAGATTAAATGAACTGGAATGAACTCTTGGATCTCATAGACACTCTGCACAGACACCTCTAGATATCATTTGAAATTTTTCAATGGGTACAATAAATGACCCCTGGAAACACAGCAAGCAAAGCTGATAGATTTGTATTGCAGACTTTGAACAAATGGAGAACATTTTGACAAATATTTTGAAAAGGTTGGTTCCTTGTCATGTCCCAATTTTGAGAATGCGGGAGAGGGCAGTGGTGTATGCTAGGAGGATCACAGTGGTGGAATGAAAGCCTTGAGGACTCATCCACTTCCTTTTTTGTCTCCTTTTAAATGCCTAGAGTAAGCAGCACACAAGTGAGGAGAGTCCAGGAAGGGAAGGTGGGGAAAGAGAGACATTTTATTGGGGGGTGTGGTGTGGTGTGAATGATTGTATTGCCTAGTGCTTAGTGTTAGAAAGGTGGCAGACAGGATTTGATTCATGTGTAGCTTTAGATTGTTTTCAATAGTGGGCTTGGGTTCTGGGAGAGGGTAGTTATTGTGTTAGATAGCTCATGACTTGGAATTTCAAGTTCTTTGTGAAGGCCATTTTATAAATAAATATTTGTGAGCCTGAGGAAACATCTATTATAATCTCATCATATGAACCAGGAAATTAAGGAATTGAATAGACTTGCCCAAGATAAAATACTAGTGACCTGGTTAAGCTAGCACTAAGTGACACTCCTCGGACTTGAACGCATGCCTCTTCTCAGTCTGGGGTTATTTATCCTATGTCCTCCAAAATGGTTTCACATTCTGCCAACCTAACTGTCCCAAATGACCAAAGCTGAATGTCCCTTCCTGGGGATGTCCCCTGACCCTGGCTGATGAAGGATTCAGAGGAATCAGAGTTCTTCATGGCAGTGAGGCTCAGGGATGAGGGTTGAACAGTCACCAATCAGAACCGGAAGTAGCAATGTGATGGTATTATTTGGGGGAAAATCAGGACCACAGAGGATTTTTCTAAGCATATAATGAGTTGTGCAAGTAGATTGGTTAAGGTAAGAATTGCTTTGCCAGAAAATACTCTCTATGAGTCAGAGGATTGTGTTGAGAGGCTACCTAGCCAGAGGTAACTCAGATATTACCACCAGCTGTTCCAGTGAGGACCACTGAACATAAGCCCACAGCTTTACCCTGTTATGCTAAGGGCTGAACAGTAGAACCTATAAATGCTGGACGTCATTGCAACCCCCTCACCAGAAAATGGAGCCCATGGAATTCCTGCTTCCTCTCATTGCTCACCTGTGAAGTAGAATCTTTCTTGTGTCTGATGGATGAACTCTGGGTCATGTGTGAACCAATTTGCAAGGAAAGCTGAGAAAACAAGTTCACTGACTTCCACCAGTGAGGCAGGACAGCACAGAAGTGGTGTTCCAGAGATTCTGGGGAGCTAGAAATCTTGATAAAATTCCATGGCCAGATACTATTATAAGCTCATAAACATAATTCATGATGACTGTGGAATAGTACATTTGAAGGCTGCATCACACTGACATTTTTTCATTACAAAACCCCCTAGCTTTTTGACCTATTTTAAGCAATGCTGTGATGTTACCCTAACTTTGGGGCTGGAAAGTTTAGTTTATAAATTGTAGTCCCAGAGAAATAACCAAAACAAAAAAAGATGTTCAGAGAAAAAAAATTCTTTATTCACTGATCTCACCCCAGTGCAAATGAGAGTAGGTTTCTGAGGAAATGACAACAAACCTCATATCAAGACACCCTGGCAGGGGATTTCCGGAACCATCGCTGGTATATAAGCTGGGGTTGAGGTCCTTTTAATCATTTTCATTTCCCTGTTTCTGTTCTCCTGGCTGCAGTGATGGCTCCCAATGCATCCTGCCTCTGTGTAAGTTGGGACTTGATTAATGGAATGGGTAAAGGAAAAGTTATATGCAGAAGTTGGGGAGATATCCCATTAACATGATAGGGATGGTGGTGCTTGGGGAAGTAGTTGAGAGGACATATTGGAGAAGAAGGGATAGAAGTTGATAGCTGCACAGTGTGAAGAAGGGTCCTGGGTGGAGAAGCTTCCTAAGAGCCCGAGTTCTCCTTTGTGCTAGACCCTAGACATGGCCACACTTTGGGATAAGAGTAGGGAGTTGGGCTGCTCAGTAGGGCTGGAAGGACTTGAAACTGTAAAAACATTGTCTTGAATCCTTTTTTCTTTTTAGTGCATTTAGAGATTCAGTGTTCTTAAACTTTACTCTAAAAAGGGCTTTACAAGATTAATTCATATTAATTTAGAAATAACCTAACATATAACTTATTACCTTATATAGTAGAGCTCTGATATAGCTTGCAGGGAGTGACATAACTACAGGGTGGGTGATGACTTTCTGGCAGTTAGAATCGATCACCAGCTCTGCTAGAGAAAAACAGGCAATCTCTTCTGGTACCTAAAACAGCCCTGCAGGGTCAGCTATGAGTCAGTTCCAACTCGAAAGTAGTGACTGAGTGACATTACCTTATGTAAACATAGATGCATTAGAAGAACAATCTGGCATAAAGGTAATACTTTGCACAGAGTTGTGATACATCAGCGCAAGAGTGTCAAGCAGCATTAGTGATTCCTAGGTTGGGATGATAGTTTTGAAGGGGGCTTGTGGGAGATTTTCATGGCTTTCAAGTGACAGCACGGAGGTGAACTTTCCTATTTTTTCAGAATTTCCCAGTTACTGCAGTAAGAGTCAAATAGTGTTTTCTTTTCTGTGAGAGAGATCTGGTCTAATTATAAAAGGCTATGGTCTACAATAACCTAAACTCACTGTGGTCAACTAGTTTCTGACTCATTGAGACTCTCCATTGGGTTTCTGAGTCTGTAAATGTTGACAGGATACTGCCCACCTTTCTCTCTCAAAGGACATTTGAACAGATAGATTTGAACCATCAAAGATGGGCAGCTTTTTTAGTTAGCAGTACAACATGCTATATGGACTAAGCCACCATAGTGAACAATTCTTTGACAATAGGCAGATGCAAAATAACAGGAAATACAGATTAACAAGAAACACTATGCACAGTGTTAAAGCAACATTATATAGCAATGGACACTGGAAAGGAACTAACTTTTCAGAGATTATTTTTTTCTACCCAGGATTGCCTTCCAGAGCAGTCAGGAGAGGCAGTCCCATGAGTATCCAATTAGGCTGCCACTGAGGTTGGAAACTTGCTATAGGAATTTATTTTAAAGTTTAATGTGTACCTCTTGAATGGAACTTTATAGTTAGTGGTACTTTGTGACACTTTTTGTCTGGATAAGAGGAAGGTAATTGAAGCAGGAGATACATAATTATTCTTTAGGAAGTTGAGGTATAGTTATAGGAATGAGGCTTATTTTTTTGTTTATATTATAACCGGGTAATGACAGAAGAGTAGCTACAAGAAAGCAAAGGATATAGATTGATAGAAAGAAGTTGGAGGGCCTGACAAGCAGGGAAAGGGGAGCAAAAATTAAGATGGGGAGCAAGGAGATTAGTAAAGGGTGACACATTCTAGCTCTCTCTTTTTTAAATACAATTTTTTCTATTGTTAGGCTAATTTAAATTTGAATAACTTTTTTAGGTGTAATTATATTTTGGTTAGTTTTTGTTGTGTCAGAAGTGGGAATTAAATACAAATTTTATTATATACTGGTTGACTTAAAAGCTCGCATACATTGCTTTTCACACCGGATAGTTCCTATTTCCTTTACCCACCGCTCCCTCCACACATCAGATTGTGCAACTCTATGGTTAACCACCCCCCATGCCTCCCACTCCGCCCATCTTCACCCCTGGGTTCTCATACACATTTTCTATCTCTTGATCCTCAATGACTTTCCCAGGTGAACGTCCATCTGGAGGAAGGGGAATTGATGACCTTCACCGCCAACCTCAGTGACAGAGTAAAGAAGATCAATGAACACGTCCGGTCCAAGACCAAGGTTCCTGTGCAAGACCAGCTACTCTTTCTGGGTTCCAAAACCCTAAAGCCCGAGAGAAACCTTTCATCCTATGGTATTGACAAGGAGAAGACCATCCACCTCACCCTGAAGGTGGTGAAGCCCAGTGACGAGGAGCTCTCCATGATGCTGATAGAGTCAGGTGACGGAGGGCAGAGGCACCTTCTTCAGGTGCGCCGGTCCAGTGCAGTGGCCCAAGTGAGAAAACTGATCGAAATGAAGACCGCTGTGCCCCCTGAGGCCCAGATCGTGATTTGCAATGGAAAGAAACTGGAAGATGGAAAGACTATGGTGGATTATAATATAAAAAATGGCAGTATTCTCTTTCTGACAAAATATTACATTGCAGGCTGACCATTTTGAGAGTTGGGTGATTTTAGGAATAAAAGTCTTCTTTTTGGCTTTTACTCATGAAATCTGTTCTTTGCTAATTTTCCGAAATGAAGGAGAAGAAACTATAGAAAAGATATGATTTTGGATGGGAGGAGAGGGAATACTTGGACAACCCTTATTTTGGGATTTTAATACTATTGATTTAGTAGCCAGATTGTGTATAAGGTGCTAATAGATAAAAACCTACATCATTAAGATGTACTAGAGGCAACATTCAGAGCCAGTTTACAATTTCTTTCTTTCTTGGTTTCCTCTAATGTATGGAAAAAAATTAATTTTCATAGAAAAATCTCATTTTTTTTCCTATCCAATTTAAGTTTTGTGTTGGAATCTAGACTTTATTATTTTCTTGTTTTCATGCATATTTATCCCAATATCTGTAATATACCAACTAATTATCAAACCAAGCTGAATTTCCATGTGCAAACAATACTGAAATAAATTATTTCTTTTGAAGTGGATTAGTCTGATATAATCACAATGTAACTCATAAAAAATTAAAACAACTACTTCTCTATCTAAAGATTTTTGGTGTGAAATAAAGCCTGGCACTGTGCCCTTTCCTACACTCCGTGTCCCACATCCAGTTAAAATCGTCCATTCTGACCATGGTGCTGGGCAGAGAGAGAGATATTTCCCATGGGATTTGGAGATAGTGTGCCTGTAAATGGGGCCTTTCAAGGGGCAGATCTCTTCAAGTGGAATGAAATTTCTGAAAGGTGAGGGATTGAGGACTTGTGTCTGTTCTGGGGAGTGGGATTCGTGATTCTTTTTTTTTTTTAAACAATAAACTCTTTTTTAAAAATTTTTATTGTACTATTTTTATGTGTACCGTCAAATCAGATCTGACTGGTACAGGAGGAGATTGCTCGCTCCTTCTCCAGCCAAGAATCTGGTGGATTTGAACTGCATACCTCTGGGATTGCAGTGCAGCGTCTTGCCACTAGCCCACCAGAGCTCCCTTGGGATTCGTGATTCTGAACTGACTTCAGGACTCTGTAAATCCTGATACAGCATTTTTCTTTCTGCTTCCTTTACCGTTGTTGTTGTCATATCCCTTCAAGTGGGATCTGACCCATAGCTGACCCTTCAGCAGGTTTTCAAAGGCAGTAAATCACAAGGGAGGAGATTATCCATCTTTCTCCTGCAGAACAGCTTGTGGATTCGAACCTCAGGTTTGAACCTTGCATTGGTAGCACAGCTCCTTACCACCAGGCTACTATGGGGTGGTTTTTTCTCTGTAGACATCTCAAGTACCTTCTTTTCTACATCTTTCCTTCTTTCTTTTCCCTTCCTTTTATCTCTCTAATATCTTGCTACTAGATACTTGCAAACTGCTTTTCCTTACAACTTGAAACCTGCCCTCATTTCCCCCCCCCCCCCCCTTCTGTTTAAAACTGTCTCAGGAACTATCTCACATAGAAACGTGTCTCACCTTCACCCATTATGCTTCTGGGATATTCTTCAGCACACTTTCAGTCTAGGGCCCCTTGATGGGCACTAGTCATCTCTCTAGGTTGGCATAATATCTCAGATTATGAGAGAGAGAGAGAGAGAGAGAGAGATCATGATTCCTTTTCCTGGATGTGGTCTCCTGCAAGATTCCCTCTGCTTTAAAGAAAAATTGCTTTTAGTTTCTGGTTGATGAGAGAGACAAAGAACCCTGGTCTCCAAATGGTTAAGCCCTCAGCTGCTAACAGGAGGATCAGGGTTTTGAACTCTCTGGTTGTTCCACAGATGAAAGGTGGGACAGTCTTGGACTGTAAAGATTTACAACCTTAGGAATTCTATGGGGTAGTTTTACTCTGTAATACAGTGCCATTTTGAGTCAGAATCAATTCTATGGTAAGAGAGCAGATATTTCATTATTTTTGAGCGTGTATGTGAAGGACTGAGTCTCCATTTTTAGACTGAAAAAAAAAATGGGACAGAAACGCTTAATGAGCAGTCCTAAGATCATAGCTACTCTGTGGCTTTGTGGTACTTGGATGAGGCTTGTTGATATCCAAATTAAGGCTGCATCTCAGCTTCTGCTTATATTTTTAAAAAACAAAAGAGGAAGCTAATCTGTTTACCACTGAACAACCTTTTCAGATATTTGAACACAGTTTCACTTTAAGCCTCCTTCCCCTTTCTTGAAAGCAAGTCCTAAAAATAAGTGCAATCTCCCAGGTTCAGTCTAAAATCAGCCCTTGGTAGATCATTACCTCCCATGTTTCCGATGTTCTACTTCTGTGAACACTTTCCATTTTTATAATATGGACTTCAGATGTTTAACTATGGAGAATAGAGAGACTGCTTCCCACGCTCAGATCCCTGGTGCTGTAAGACCTAGTGTGATAGGTGATCAGCACAGATCTGTACATGCTCACCAGCCTTTAAGTGAAAAATCAGCAAGACAGAGGAAAGTTCAAAGCCAGGACACCTAAATTCAATCTAGTTTAGATGTCTAGCCAGTAATTTGATAGGGAAAGATAATTGCAATTTTTTTTTACCTCAGGTTTTTCATGTTTACAACAGCTGATATTTGTTTATGACAAGTATTAATACAATATTATAGATATCACATTCATTATTGTGAATTACAAAAAATCACAATCTTCAAATGTTTTATTTTTCAGAAGAAAACTTCCTCCAGAATGCATCATATGATTGCCTCATTTTATTCTAACTTTGTTGGTGGTGTTTCCTGTTGAGTCAATTCTCACAGCAAGTTGATGGCTTCCTGCCTACCTTTCAGTTAATCTTTGAGTACTTAACCATTTGTGTTATCAGGGCCCCCTTTAATCTCAATAACAAGCCGTACAAGTATTTGTGTTTTGTGCCATCTACTTGACTTTCACTCACAGCTACTCCGTGGACAACAGATAGGAACCTTGCCCTTTCCTGCACCATCTTCCTGATCTCTAATGTGCCTGAACTGTTGCTTCCGTCACTGTGTCGATCCATGTTGTTGAGGGTCTTCTCTCTGATCCTCCCTGTTCCCAGCATAATGTCTTTTTCCAAGGACTGATGCCTCCTGATAACATGCCTAAAGATTGTGAGGTAGAGTTTCACCATCTTTGCCTCTAAGGAGTAACCTGGTTGCACTTTCTCCAAAACAGATTTTTGTTCTTTTGGTAGTCCATGGAATATTCCATACTCTTTAGCACCACCATAATTAAAAAGTATCAATTCTTCTCCTGTCATATTATTCATTGTCCAACTTTCAGATGCAATAGGTAGCAATTGAAAAGACCATGAATTGAATCAGTGCACCTTCATCTTTAAATGGACATCCTTGCTCTATAGCACTTTGGAGAAGTTCTTGGCAGCACATGTCTCCATTGCAACAGGTCTTTTGATTTTTTGACTGCTGCCACCATGGGTATTGATGGTGGATTCAAATAAAATGAGATAGTTGACAGCTTCAATCTTTCCCCGATCTATCATGAGAAATTCATTTCCCATTTCAACTCTTGATTCTGGTACTTATTTACTTGCAGATTAGATGATGATTCTATTTAATATATTAGGTTAGGAAGGCATATTGTAATGTTAAATAATTTGCACAAAGTCACAAGATTTTTCAGAACTTAAGCTCAAATTAGACAGTTATTTGCTATACATCTTAAAGTTGGGCAAAGACTAAAGATAACAGAAGAATATGTTGTTGAGTTGTAGTGTTGGAGAAGAGTACTTAATATTCCATGGGCTACCAAGAGAACAAACAGGTCTGTTTTGGAAAAGACAGGTTGCTCCTTAGAAGGAAGAATGATGAAACTTTGTCTCTTGTGCCTTGGGCATGTTGTTAGGAGAGGCCAGTCCTTGGAGTGGGACTTCGTGCTTGGGAAGGTGGAGGGTCAGCCAGGGTGAGGAAGACCCCCACTTCACTTTGACACAGTGAATGCAACAATAGTTTCAAGTATTTCAGAGATGGTGATGATGGCACAGGATAGGGCAGAGTTCAGATCTGTTTATTCATGGGGTTGCTATAAGACACAGTTGACTTGATGGCACATAGCAACATTATGATTTTGCCTATTGGTGTCGTACTCAACTCCACAGCACCTAACAACGACAATTGGTCCAGTGATGAGAATTTTTGTTATCTTAATGTTGAGATATAATCCATATGGAATATTGAAGATTTTTTTACCTTCTTCTTAGAAATATTTTAAGTCTTCATTACTTTCAGGAAGCGTGATTGAGTCATCTGCATTGTGAAAGTTGTTGATGAATCTTCTTCCAGACCTGAAGAAAGGATACCACTCAACACATGTCTTTTCTGATTTTAAACTATGCAGTATCCCCTGGCTCTGTTTGGATGATTGCTTCTCAGTCTAGGTGTAAAACAAGTGCAAATATTAAGATGATTGAAAACAAGATTCTAGATACAGACTACTAGGCTCTGCCCTTGCCAAACTGAACAATTTTGGTCATTTAATAAAATAAAGTGGAAGAAATGTGTTAAACATGCAAATCTCCGGCCTACCGCGCGGTGCGGCGGCGACTGAGGCCCTGGTTTTACTCCTCCTGCTGTGGGGCTGGAGCCCCTGAAGGTGTCCTGCTGCGCTCAAGTCTGGCCAGTGCCACCTGTCTCCGCAATGCCCCCCAAGAAACAGGCTCAGTCCGGGGGCAGCAAAAAGGCGGAGCAGAAAAAGAAGGAGAAGATCATCGAAGACAAAACTTTTGGTCTTAAGAATAAGAAAGGAGCAAAGCAGCAGAAGTTTATCAAAGCGGTCACTCATCAAGTAAAATTTGGTCAGCAAAATCCACGCCAGGTAGCACAAAGTGAAGCTGAGAAGAAATTGAAGAAAGATGACAAGAAGAAGGAGTTACAGGAGCTAAATGAATTGTTCAAACCTGTAGTTGCTGCTCAGAAAATAAGTAAAGGTGCAGATCCCAAATCCGTAGTATGTGC